GTGTGTGTGTGTTTGTGTGGAGAAGCAGAATGGCCGTAAAAGGTTTAGTTTCTCTGGGTCAGTGCTGGTGTTTTCAAAGCTTGTGTCACCCAGCGAGGGGCTCGCCCAAGGACAGGCCGCAGCCTCGGCACCCACTCAGGGCTGCAATAGGATTTAAACAGCAGCTCCGCCTCTCTCCACTGCCTGGGGTCAGTGATTGGATTTTCAGTCCTGGAATCACTGAGCATCTCGTGGGGTTAATTCACATACGTTTTTAATTCAGGGAGACTCCCTGAGCACAAACACATGTGAATTGTCTCTGTGATCGGCCTTTTGTATGTTTTTAATTGAAGACACAGAAGGGCATTTCTGGTGTTTCCACGCTTCACGCAGAGGAACTGGTCTGTGCAGTAAAGTCGAGTCATAATTACCATAATACAATCAGCATTACACAGATAACACCCCTATTTCCTGCTTTCATTATTCCGACGCGCAGAATCACCCAGCCATTCAACTATTTGCTGAAAATACAGCACAGAGCTGCAGAGAGAGACAAACACTCATTATGTTCCAATTAATGTCCCATTGTAATTCACTTCTCATGGGAGGTGTGTGATATTCTCCGTAAACCCATAGTGAGGAAATCCTGAGCATTCATTACATCCCCAGTGTTTTTAGTGTTTGGTGTTTTTAATTTGTGAGACAAAATTCATTAATTGGCTCATTAATATCCCTATTAGAATACAAATCACACCACAACAGACTGTGTCCCCTTGAGTCAATGGTCTAAACTCAGATTACTGCAGCTAATTTGGTTAAATGGAGTAAGAATTTACCTTTCTACCCCGCCCACACTCTCTTTGCTCCCCAACATGCAGAGTACAGTGAGATGCAGCCTGTGGCTGCCTGAAATAGCCACCACAGTGATGACAAATAGACGGGGGGAGATTATAAAATTTGCTTAAGTGTGTTAATGGGCTGATTGTGGGAGCCCGCTGGATTTTGCTGGAAGTTGATTGATTAGAGCTGCGGGTTTTCTCCACGCCCGGAGAGCTCAGGGATTTGACGGGGTAAAGGCGCTCGCCAAGTCTGTTACACCGGAATTGATCTTAATTAGATCTGAAAGACCTGCCACAGCAGAATGGTCGCGGCGATTAAAATGAAAAACAGGAGAAATTACTGATCAAATTAATCATAATGTCGGGCTACAGCTGTAGGTCTGGTGTAATTTGCCACTCCAGTGAGTTACATCAGCCCAGGCAGGGAGAGGAGAGGCAGTACATACTGATCCGTGGCAGCGGGAAGCTTAGGCCAGCCTATCAACTCTCTTATTCCAGCTTGTATGCCCCAGACCTTCCTCAGCCAGCTGCGCCATCCAGTGGAGTCCCAACATCTCCTTCTTTCTGTAGCTCTGATCTAATTAGTCGCTTTTTATTGCCTTTTTTTTTTGCCAAATCCTTGGACATAATGTCTTTCTCCCTCCGGGAGCTGCATCTTCGACAACGCTGCTGCACTGTGTCTCTGCTGTTCTTGTCATGGCTGTCTTGTCACCAGCATGTTGTGTGTTAGCTAATAGCCTCTGACCTTGGTCCAGTGTCTGGCTGGCTGGTTTTCGGGGGGCCTGGCGGAGATGGAGGCGTCCTGTCTTCCCCCTCCGCCAGACTCCTGCCGTCTGTCTGTGTGTCTGTCTCTACTCCCCTTCGCAGTCGTCTCCTTGATCGCTGTCAGAGCCCCACACTGGGCCTGTCCACTCTCCATCCGCACACTCATAGGGGTAATTACAGCCTAGGGGCCTGCCTCCTATCCCTGTGCTCCACAATTTACCACCAAAGCGTCCACAGACATCTCTCTTCTTCCCCACTGCACCCCGACATCACAGGACCGCAGGGCCTCAGACCCACAAGTGCTGCAATTACCTGAGCCTCTCCTCTATCCTTTTCTCTCTCTCCCTTCTCTCTTCTCCTTCTTTCTTGCTCTCTCTCTCCTCTCTCCCCCTTGGCTCCCTCACTATTCCCTGGCAATCAGCCTTCATTAGAAGCCTCTGGTGAAAACCCATCGTCACCAAGGTCAGCGGCTGCCAACCACAACGGCCTTTCAGAGCCCTGGCTGTCTGCACTCTTCGTCTCTCCTCACCTCCTTGCCATTCTCCACCTCATCCTCCTCCCCCTCCCCATTCGCTCCACCATCCTCCTTCAGTCTCGGGCCCATCTCTGCTGCTTTTGTCTCCAGCTGAGGCCCCTTCAGACACTCATGTCACTGTTTTCCGCTGCAGTGCACTTTTACTTATGTCAACCGCTGTTAAAATCACCACTGTCCAATTTGCTCCAAATGTGTCTTTTTTTATGGGCGGTGGGCGTCTCTCCCATTATATTAACATGTGTATTAAATGAGCCTTGCACATCGATTAATTGATTTTCCAGATCAGCCCCACGTCTATTCAATTTAGCAAAACGGGCCCCCATCATTCCACAGGGTATTAAATCAAAATTAAAATGACATGCTCAAATGTAGACCCAATGGCTCATACTGTGGCTTGTCGATGAAACTGGCAACGCTTAAGTTGAAAGAGTCCATTATCTATCTTATGTCTCATAACTCAACTGTGGTGTCTGTGGTTTGGAAAAAGACCTCAGAGTTTATTACTAGAAATATAATTTTACAGCTGTTCTTCAGCTGATTTCTTCCAGTAAACTACCATGTGCCATATAATTGTTTGTTTTGACATTTTATATATATATATATATATATATATACTTAAAGTTTGCAATGTAATCATGAAAGCCGAACACATGTCACTTTAAAATGACAAAATTGTGTGTTTTTTTCAAGTTCACTCAGAGAAATGTGGTCATACCTAATAATGAGAGCACTGAGGGTTTCCTTATTCTGATATATTTTTCAGACTTATCTTATTATTTATGACTTTGACTGTTTTAGGGCAAAAAAATCACATTTAATAAATGGATATAGGATTTTGTTGGACATAAATTGTCATCAAACATAATTAATCGATTAAATTAAGGTGAGTAAATAAATGTGGAAGTCAAAAGTGGAGAATCTTAGGGGGGTGGGGTTATGCTGGGGACACCTAAATTCAGTATTTCCTGAAATCTTGAATATGGCTCCAGGTTGGTCATGTCCTTGTATGTAGCGTTTATCTTCAGGTGAAGTTGCTGTGATGTCGTACACAGCCTCACAACTGCCCATTATCCACGGTAACACCTGTTTTATAATCACAATTTTCTAATAAAACTTTTAAATATGTATAAATGGTATTTGGTGCCAGCCTGTGTGTTTAAATGGCTGTGTGCTGCTAGTGTTGGCTGTGTGGTTTAGAGCATGAACAGGCCCTCAGCTCTCCAGCAGCTCAGCCTAGCCTCTTATTAATGCACAGGAGATCCGGCTCTTAAGAAGGCAGAAAATTGCCTTACATAACAAGCGCTCCACAATTTAGAAATACAAATGTGCACTGTT